CCTTGAATTCAGTCAGCATAATGCTATTAGTTGGTGTAAACAGGAAGACTTTTCCATGTGGTTAAGAGCTCAGCTGTTAACCAAAAGGTCAGCAGTTTGAATCCACCAGCTGCTCCTTGGAAACTCTATGGGACAGTTCTACTCTGTTCTATAGGGTCTCTATGAGTTGGAATCAACTTGATGGCAATTGGTAGTGGTAATCCTGCAGAGACTGTGAGAGAGATGATAGCATTAAGGAAGGGTGGACAATTTTTGGCAAATGGCATGAATTTGAGAAGCATAGTGACTTTTACATGAAAGAGAAAGAGGAGTGGGTATCAGTAATGCTAACCCTGTCTTTGACTCCTGTAGTAAGTAGTGGTTGGGAAAAGGATTAGGTCCCACTCAAGAATGATGCAAGGTGGTTGGTATTCCTTCAGATTTAGGAGGTGGAGAACCAATGAATTAATGAGTTTGAATATACTGCAGCATAATGGAGAAGATGATATAGTTGAAGGTGCAGGGAAGGTGGTTAGCAGTAGGGTGGTGACCCATGGAGAAGAACTAAACAGTGTCGGGAAGTTTATTACAGACTATTGCTTATTTTGTTTGACAATAAACATTTACTTAGCTTTGCTACTACATAGAAAAAAAACCAGAAAAGCAATGTATATATATAATCAAAAGGCTTCAAGTATGTGTGATTTAAAAACACTTTTCAAAATATATCCATTATTCTAATGGTCACAATTGAGAAAAATATGTTACGCTTGTAATTAAAAAAAATTTTCTTTTCCGTATTATTATTCTAATTTCACTGCTAATATTTCTTCTGTTTTTCTTAATGAAAACTTGTAAGGAAAAGCAGAAGGAAGAGTTTGTATACTTAGTCATAGTAAGTTTTCTTAATGAAAACTTGTTATAAGGGAAAGCAGAAGGAAAATATTGTGTCCTGGGTCATAGTTATGCCCAGTATACCTTCAGAGAAAACAGACTTCTGCACAACCATCATATGTTACTAATTTGCTTCTGGCTACTTTTTAAGACTCAGTTTGTGTGGTTAACTATCTAAATTCATAACCAATAATGATTCAAACTTTACCAAGGACTTGCCATAAGCCAGACACTGTGCCATACAGTTCACATATACTCTCATGTTTATTCTTTATAATGATTCGTATTCTCCATTCCTGAAAAAGGAAGAAACTGAGCCACAGAGTAGTTAATAGTTTATCCAAGGTCAGACACCTTGTTAAGTGGCAGCACCACAGTTGGAACCCAAGCCTGTCTGTCTTCAGAGTCCATGCTCTTAACCACTTGGCAACTGTGCCCCATATTCACTAGAGCACATACATACTTCTATTCTTTAAGCAAAACCTATTTATGAATAAAGTATGATTTTCAACAGTTTGCAAACTGCTTTAAATTCCTGTTACAAAAAGAAAAGTAGGAACAAGTTGATTGTCATGTGAGAAAATTAATGTCTCATGCTAGTTTACCATAATGGTAGCCAGACTTAATATTTCATAATATAGCAATAATACACATATGCTGTTATTTCTAGAACTCACTTGCAAATTCAGATGTTTAGAGTTTTAAATATTCTGCAACTTAGTTATCATTAGAACATCAGATCGATTTACTGAAAGTATTAAATATATATGATTGGAAACAAAACTCTTAACTCTTACTTGTTAGCATCTTTTTTTTTTTAATATAACATTTCTATTAAATATTGCATTATACTCCACAACTATTACATTAAAAAATTAGAATAAATAATATAAAAATAGCGTACACATGGCAAAGAGTACAGAAATAGTCTTCATACCACTCCCCTAATCTTCTTGCCCGGGGTCAAACAGTTTCTTTTGCAACCTTCCAGAGAGATGCTATTCATTCTTTTTTTTCTTTTAATAACCATTTATTGTGCTTTTGATGAAAGTTTACACAGCAAGTTAGATTCCCATTTGACAACTTCCACACAAATTGTTTAGTGACATTAGTTACATTTTCCACGGTGTGTCCACATTCTCTTTAATGTGTTCTCATTGTTCCATTTCCAGTACTCTAGTTTCCCTGCCCCCTTATCTTCTCATCTTTGTTTTAGAGTAAATGTTGACCATTTGGTCTCATACAGATGGTTTTTTAGTGGAGCACTCTTCTTACAGGTAATATCCTTTGTTTTGTGTGCCACTCTGTTATTTTGCTAAAAGACCATCTTGGGATAATTTTGGTTCAAGATTTAAAGAGTGTCTCAGGGCAATAGTCTCAGGGAGTCCTCTGGTCTCAACTGGTCCAGTTAGTCTAGACTTTTTTAAGAATATGAGTTTTTATCTACATTTTTCTCCCATTCTATCCAGGACCATCTGTTGTGATTCTGATCAGAATGGTCATTGGTGGTAGCTGGGCATCATCTAGTTCTGGTCTCAGGGTAGATGAGGCTGTGGCTCTTGTAGGCTGTCAGCCTTGTAGACTTGTTTCATCTCTGAGGTTTTGGTTACCTTTTGCTCCTGAGGAGTAGAGACCACTAGTTGTATCTTAGATGTCTGCTTGGAGGCTTTTAAGACCCTAGACACCACTCACTTCATGAAGATGCAGAACATGAACTTTATGAACTATACTATGCCAGTTGACTGAGCTGTCCCATGAGACTATGGTCCTAAGCTTTCAGACGTAGAAAACCAATCTCGGAAGGTATTTGGTTTCTGTTCGTTCTTAACCTGTATGTCTTTGTATCTTTTCTTTTCCATTTGTGGGCACCCCTCCTTGGAACCACAGTCTCTTTCTTGCTTACCTGGTTTCTCTTTTGGTCTCCTGCACAGCAATCATCTTTAGACTTTCTTCATTATTATTCTTAGAATTCCCTCTGCTTCTCTCCTGTATTGGATACCCTGCTTTCTGTATCCCATGTCTTCACTTTTCTCATTTTACTCCCTCAGTTTTGTGGAACACAATCTCCTGTAGCTTCCCAAGAAACAGTGCCTGGGGAGTAAAAAAAATTTTGAGACCTTGAATGTTTGGAAATGCCCTATTTTGCCCTCATCCTTAGTTGAGAGATAATAGAATTTTAGGTTGAAAGTAATTACCTTAAGGATTGTGAAGAAATTGTTCCATGGTCTTCTAATTTTCATTGTTGCTACTAAGAGGTACCAACCCATCTGGATTCCTGTTTCTTTGTAAGAGACTTTTTAAAAAAAAATTAGGTTTAGTATATTTTCAGGCCCTGGTAGTGCAGTGATTAAGAGTTATGGCTGCTAACCAAAAGGTCAACAGTTTGAATCCACCAGCTGCTCCTTGGCAACCCTATGGGACAGTTCTATTCTGTCTTACAGGGTTGCTGTGAGTCAGAATCGACTTGATAGCAATGAGTTTGGTTTTGGTTTTAGTATATTTTCATCCATTATATCCATTATGCTCTGTATTTCATGAGTTCCTTTAATCTGGAAACTCATGTCTTTCATTTGTGAACTTTTCTTGAATTACTTGGTTGTTTTCTTCCCATTTTTCTTTTCTTTCCCTCTGCACTTTTTATTTGGATATTGGACTTCGTGGACAAATCATCTGATTATCTTTTTCTCTCCTGCTTTCTACCATCTTTACTATTATCCTCTCTTATTTTATGATTGCAAGTATTTTGTCTTCTGGGGCTATAGGCTCACTATGAGTCAGAACTGACTCGAGGGCAGTGGGCATGGTGGCTATTAATAATTTTTTTAAGTGCATAGTCTCTATTTCCTCAAAAATAGTTTTTTTTTTTTTTTTTTTACATTTTGACCTTGTCTTTCATATTAGAATCCTTAAATTTTCTGCTCGTATTTAAATATTGGAGACAGGTTGGACTTACTGAGTTTTGTAGGTGGGGGTTGTTGACTATGAGCTTCCCTATAAAGTGATTGAGCTGGCCTGTTTATTTGGTGGACCTCTGATAACAGTGTCCTTAGGGCTTAAGTATTCTCTCCACCGGGATACTCTGGACATTGTCAGAGTGCTGTATCTATCACATTCTGTTGCAAAATAACCGGTATATGTCCACCTTCCCTTCGAAACTGAGTTCCTGAGGACACAGCACATGTCTCGTTTATCTTTATATGGTTGTACTTAAGGCTTGGAGATGATAGGTACTCAATGAGTATTATTGAGGTGAATTACATTATATTACTGTTTAGACAGAATCCCTGCATGGCGCAAAGTGTTAACGGGCTTAGCTGCTAACTGAAAGGTTGAAAGGTCGAGTCCACCCAGAGCTGCTTTGGAAGAAAAGCCTGGTAATCTACTTCTAAAAACTCAGCTACTGAAAATCCTATGGAGCACAGTTCTACTCTAACACACACGAGGTCACCATGAGTTGGAGTCAACTTGACGGCAACTTGTTTTTTTTACTGGTTTATTTTTTTAGTCATTTTGATGCTTTTGCCTAAAATGCTTAAAAATGTTATTTATATTTTACTAAATATGAGTGACTTTTAAATTTTTCTCACAATGAAAGGCTGAACAGTTTCCATGTGCAGAATTAAAATATCAAAATATAAATCCTTCAAAAAGGATATATTGGTATTTTAAATATTAAATAAGTAAGAGAATTATGACCTGGACATGTCTTGATATGAATAAGATAAGGATTTGAGCTTTATAGTCACATATGTTTATTTGTTCAATCAAAAGTTCTGATATAGCAATCCTCAGCCATACCTTCAGGCATTTTATAAACACATTTGGAAAACTGACTTATAAGCAAAGGGAATAAAATATTATATTTATCAGACAACTGAAACTATTGAGAAGGCTAAAAACTCTTAATAATGATTGCAACATCCTTATTTTTGTTTGTTTGGTCTTGGGTCATAGGACAGATAATTGTATAATTTTGTTTAGTCAGTAGCTGACTAAATCAGTGGATTATTTAGGCCATTCCTTTCTTATTTATACTTGAGTATGAAACAAAAGGTTTATTTTTATTTAAAATGATATTTTAGCTTGCTAACTCTTATTATTATTATATATTTTTTCTTCTTCATCAGTGTAGTGACTATGACTTGGAATTTGGAACTGAGTGCTTGCAATTGGCTCTAAAATACTGTCACACCAAAGCCAAACTGGTGGAAGGATCCCCTGACCTCTGGAAGGTAAGTGAGAGGCGACACTTTGCTCTGGCTGTGGTCTCTGCTTGTTTGTTATTCCTAAAGAGTCAACTCTACAAGTATAATGACTTCCCAGATACTTCAGAAAATGGAGAAATAGTTTGAGATTACTTGATTTAATATTGAAACAGTTAACTATTTCCAGGAAAGAGGTAGGAGTGTGTATGTGTGTGTTTATACATGTATGCTTGTGGATGTATATGGATGTATGCATGCATTTATAAATGCTAGAAATTTAAACGGGTAAAATGAGTCTCACTGGGTTAACTGAGCCATCAAAGTATCGTATCACTTCTATTGCTTGGCTTAAAGAAAACTTACTTTGAGATAATTTATTCAAACACATTCCATTTTAGCCCATAAGGTTGTTTTATTCACCTACGTTTTCTGTTTTGCTTGCTGTTGTGTATATATCCTTTCACTCTGTTGCTGAAGCTCAATTCAGTTGAGACTGTAACTCTGCTTCCCACATAAAAACATTTCCTGGCTGCAAGCTCCTATTTAATTGGATTGAAAGAATTTCTGCCACAGTTCTGACCCCGTAAGGTGCATGGCCTTACTACCCTCCTCCTGACCCCAATGAGGAATTGGACTTTTTCCTGTAGCAAGGCCTAACTCTTCTAATGGCAAACTTATTTCTTTTGGAGGAAAAAGAGTGGTTGCTGAAAGCAAGGTAGTTGCGCTATCATACTTCAGCTTCCTATTGCAGTAAGGGTGTTTTAGAGTGTGACTCTCCTTTATTTTCTTTGGTAGAATTGTGTTCAATTGAACAGTACATTCTGAATTAGAATTGTGTCATTTCATAATTTTGAAATAGTACTGTGGATTTTGAAATATTGATTGTACTCTTTTGAAATCTTTATAAAACATGCAAGTGAATATGATTGGTAAAGATTAATTCTAACTCATAGATTCTATGAATCCAAAAGCACATTTCTTTTTTTTTTTTAAATACTATAACATAAACAATTTTTTTAAAATTTGTACTTTAGGTGAAGGTTTACAGAACAAATAGTTTCTCATTAAACAGTCGGTACACATATTGTTTTATGACATAGGTTAACAACCTACGACATGTCAACCCTCTCCCTTCTCGACCTTTTCTTTTTTCTTTTTTTGGTGAAAATATACATACCCAAAGATACAAGCACAGTTCAGTGACATCAATTACGTTCTTCTAGTTGTGCTGCTATTCTCACTTTAGATGAAGGTTTACAGAACAAAATAGTTTCTCATTAAAGTTAGTACACATGTTGCCCTATGACAATGGTTAACAACCCCACTACATGTCAACACTGTCCTTACTCAACCTTGGGTTCTGTTTCACCAGCTTTCCTGTCCCCTTCTGTCTTCTAGTCCTTGTCCCTGGACTGCTGTGCCTCATTAGTCCCATTTTGTTTTATGGTGGTGTTCAATCCCTGGCTGAACGGTAAACCTCAGAAGTGACTTTACTGCTGAACTGAAAGGGTGTGTGGGGGCCATACTTTTGGGGTTTCTCCAGTATCTTTCAGGCTAGTAAATCTGGTCTTTTTTTTTGTGTGTTAGAATTTTGTTCTACATCCTACTCCAGCTCTGTCCAGAACCCTCTGTTGTGATCCTGGTCGGAGCAGTCAGTGGTTATAGCTGGGCACCATCTAGCTGTACGGGACTCAGTCTGGTGGAGGCCTTGGTAGATGTAGTCCATTAGTCCTTTGGACTAATCTTTTCCATAAGCACATTTCTTAATTGATTTAGAAACAAAACAGAAAACTCTATCAGTTGAGTAAATATTTTGCACTGTAATATCATGGGCTTTGCTGCATGCTAAGATAATCTTAGGCATTCTCAAAGTGTTGAATTCTAAGGCTCTAAAAAACTGACATGGCAGAGAAAATTCATGCAGTATTGTTGCTTATTTAAGGACATCCACCTAATAGGCAAGAATTTTGTTAATTTTGTTTATTGTTATTCTGTATTTTGCTTAGATGATGATATACATATTAATTGTAAGGATTTTGGCAATTACCAATCAGATGTTTTGTTAAAGACCCACATCTCTGTAGAACCCCTTTTGCCTGCCTGCTAGACCTAATTTGAAAGCCAAGTAAAACTGTGGAAACTCTGAGTCGTTTTATCACTACTAACATGTTAACCCTCTTTGACTTCATTTTTTGATGTTTTTGATGTTATTATGATTGTCCACCTTTTGTGGGTATTCTGAGCCTTCATCAAGCTTGCAAAGCACTGTGCAGATAAAAGGGTTGAAAGTAGCATGTTGCCTTTGAATTTTCCACTCCGTTTTCCCAAATTGATTTTATTTTTGGTAAAATGCTCATATTTCACTGCTGCCTTCAGCACAAGGTTATTAGTCCTCAGTCACATCTTGTCTCTCTGCTTCCCTTTTATTTGCAGCAATGTCAGTGTACTCTCACAGTGACTGGCCTTGCCACAGTGTTTCCATGAGCTCCTGGAGAGCCATTTCATACATGCCGAGCACTGATAGACTCTCATGGGCCCAGCACAATCTGCATCATAGTGCCACTTCTAAAACTGGGGCTTGGGAGAGCCCTACCCTTATGATTGAGGTTTGAGCAATGACATGCTTCAAAGCAATCTTGGACTCTAAATGTCCTGTAATACTGTGGATTGGGAAAAAAGCCGTTCAAATAGCAGTTATGAGAGATTTTGTTTGTTTTTTAGGTACCAGATTTTTTCTGTTTATTAAGGTTGAAATTATTTTGAGTGCAGATATTTCAATTGTTTCGGGTTCTGTATTTCCTTCTTCTTCCTCCCGTCTCTTGTCATCTTCTGCTTTTTTTTCTATCTTTCGGTATTTTCTTAGCTGTTTATTTAGTCCCTTTAATGACATTGTGTAATTTGTCTTTACTATATACTTCTAATTTAATTAATGTTTTTAACCTTATCATTCAGTATGAATGTCAATTTTTGTTTAAACCAAAGGGATGGAATTAGTGTTCTTAATTCTATACTAATTCCAAGGGTACTACCATTTTTCTTTATTCTGATCAGGAAAAAAGATTTAGTACAATCATGCTAAAACTGGTAGTGAGTTCAGGTGGCAGAGCCAAGCAGCTAGAACATGATTCGACCCAGGTGGACATTATCAGGAGGCATTTCACTATCACAAAACAGTAACTGAAATGGAACAGGAAACCTTCCCCAAGTCCCCTCAGAAGTCATGGAGGTCACCCCACAGCCCTGTGAAGAATGATTAGAAATTTCTCATGACTAGTACTATTATTTCACCTGCCACTAGAAACCCCGGGAGGGTTTTTTTTTTGCATTTTAACATACATTTTATTTGTAAAAGTAAATGCAAAAAAGTGAACATTAAGGGTTGATCCCAACCTTCGCATGCCAGGTCCTCTGGGGTCTAGAGGAAACATCAGTTTTTTTTTTTTTTAAGTCTTGAGCAGGCGTAGGGAACATCCCACTGGGATGACCACAGCCACCCCTGTGGGTGACCAGCCTCAGTAGAGCACAGGACTGGGTCCTGAGGATTAAGGATTGGCTTTGTGCTTCCCCTGAGTGGTTAAGCCTGGATACGCCTTAGTACAGACTCTTATTTTGGGGAGATTTCATCTAGTCAACAGAAGAACTTCAGTCCCTTTAATTTATAGTTTTACCTGATTTTTGACCTAGTATCCTTTTTTTTTTAAATTGTACTTAAGGTGAAGGCTTACAGAACAAATAGTTTCTCATGAAACAGTAGTACACATATTGTTTTATGACATTGGTTAACAACCCTACAACATGTCAACCCTCTAACTTCTCAACCTTTTTTTTTGGTGAAAACACACATAGCCAAATATACCCCATTTCAAAAATTTCTACATGCACAGTTCAGTGACATTGACTACACTCTTCCAATTGTGCTGCTATTCTCACTTAAGATGAAGGCTTACAGAACAAAATAGTTTCTCATTTGACAGTTACTACACATGTTGCCCTATGACAATGGTTAACAATCTCACAACACATCAGCAATATCCTTACTCAACCTGGGGTTCCCTATCACCAGCTTCCTTGTCCTCTTCTGCCTTCTGGCCCTTGTCACTGGACTACTGTACCTCATTAGTCCCATTTGGTTTTATGGGGCTGTCCACTCCCAGGCTGAATGGTGAACCTCGGAGACAACTTCATGACTGAGCTAAAAGGGTGTCTGGGGGCCATACTCTCGGGGTTTCTCCAGTCTCCTTTAGGCTGGTAAATCTGGTCTTTTTTTTGTCAGTTAGAATTATGCTGTACATCCTTCTCCAGCTCTGTCCAGAACCCTCTGTTGTAATCCTGGTCAGAGCAGTCAGTGGTGGTAGCTGGGCACCATCTAGCTGTACTGGACTCAGTCCGGTGGAGGACTTGGTAGCTGTGGTTAGTATCCTTTTTTTAATATAATTTTATTTATTTTGTTGATATTGAGAATATACACAGCAAAACATATACCAATTCAACAGTTTCTACAGGTACCATTTAGTATCATTGATTATATTCTTCCAGTTGTGTAACCATTCTCACCCTTCTTTTCTGAGTTGTTCCTCCCCCATTAACATAAATTCAGTGTCCCCTAAGGTTCCTATCTAATCTCTCAAGTTACTGTTGTCACTTTGATCCCATATAGATAGTTCTTAAGATTGCATAATGCTCAAGGCAGACCTTTTTTACTAGTTAAGCTGTTGTATGGTTTTAAGAAGACTTCAGGAGATATTTTTGGTTTTAGTTTTAAAGATTATTTCAAGGAAATAGTTTTTGGGTTCATCCAGCCTCAATGGCTCCAGAATGTCTGGATTCCATGAGAATTTGAAATTCCGTTCTGTGTTTTTCCCCTTTGATTGAGATTCGTCTATAAAATCCTTCATCAAAATGTTCAGTTATGGTATCCGGGCACCATCTAGTTCTTTTAGTCTCATGGCAAAGGAGGCAGTTGTTCATGGAGGCAATTAGCCTTACATTCCATGTCCTCCTATTCCTGAGTCTCCCTCTTCCTCTGTTGTTGCATGCGAATAGACACCAATTGTTGTGTTTTGGATGGCCGCTTGCAAGCTTTTAAGACCCCAGGCACTACACAATGAACTAGGAGGTAGAACAGAAGGATTAAACATGTTATCAGGCCAATTAACTGGGGTGTTCCATGAAACCATAACTCTAAGCCTGCAAACCAAGACACCAAATCCTATGAGGTTTTTGGTTGTACATAAGCAGCCTCAATGGCTACTTGTTTTTTGTCATTGTTGTAAATATATCTATCACACAACTTTTGCCAGTTCAACTTTTTACAGGTATACACCCTATTGACAGCAATTACAATAAACAGTTGTGCAACTCTACTCTTCATCAACATGATATTTCTGTGACAGTTAACCACTCCCAACTTTCCCCTTCCCTCCCACCCCTAGTAATCACTAATAAATTTTGGTCACTATACATTTGCCTTTTCTTGTCCTTTTATATAAGTGAGGTCATACAATATTTGTCCGTTTGTGGTGGACATTTCACTCAGCATAATGTCTTCCCGCTCCATCCATACTGTAGCATGTATCAAGACTTCATTTCTCCTGCTGGCTGAGTAGTATTCCATTGTATGTGTGTGCCACATTTTGTTTATCCATTTATCTGTTGTCAATATTCTTTTTAAATACACAGCTTAGTCACTTACTTTACTGTTCAGACTTCTTGTTTCTCAATGTTAAAACCGTCTTCAAGGCATAAGGTTGTATAAAAGATTTATAACCATTATTGAAAAAAAATTAACAACTGTTTCTCATTGTCTAAAAATGCTTCCTTAGAAGAATTTCTGAAGTGTTTGGGTCATCACAGTATTATTGGAATGACTTACTTTTGAGAATCCTTTTTGATTGGGACAACATTTGCTTAGATCTAAGAGTTCTGGCATCTTTATTTAAAAACAAAAGAAAGAAAACAGTAACATTATTTAGTTTTAACCTCAAAAATACAATGTGGTAACATTGTTTCTTTTTAGAGGTTTTCATCTAGCTATACAATCTAAAGATTTTTTTGATGTACATAATTGATGAAATCCAAATAAATATAACAAATCTCCAAAACTACATCTAAATTTATATCTAATAAACAGTCTACCTCTTTAAAATGTAAATTTTTCTGGCTTCTAATTATCATAGTTAAATATTATAATTATCTTGTGAGATGAAAGATGGGAAAACCTTAACTGCAGTCTTGTTTAATGGATGTAAGATGGCGGCCAGCTGGACTTGGCTCTGTTATGAAAAGTCAGTCTGTTTTACTATATTCTGTCTCAACACTAAGAGAGCAACAAAATGTAGGTGTGATAGTCTCATCTGGAGCACATCTTGAGGTAGCTGAGAGTCCTGACCTAGGAGTGAGGAGACTCGACTACCTCTTTGACTCTGACCTTCAGTTTTTTTCCTTCACTGAATATATCTATCTATCTATATCTATATATTTAGGTAAACACTTTACTCAGATGAAATATTACACAGAAACACAATCCAACTAAATGGACAAAAATTGAGGTGATCTAGGTGAGCAGCAGATGTGGGGCTAGGAGCCTCAGCTAAACAGAACACCTCAACCATTCTTAAGATGGCTCCTCAGTGTAAACAAGTGAGTTAGAGGATGAAGGCTCTCTTGCACCATTATAGAGTTGATTTTTTTTAAAGTAATTATTTTCCATAATATTGTGCAAGGTCAAAAGAAAACTACATATCATGACAGCAGAAGACAATCAACTTCAGAACTACGGGAATTTTTTTTTTTTTTAATTAAAAAGAAAGGACAACCCATGTTACTGTAAAAGTTTGACAGAAAAATGAATAACTCAATTCAGAATTACAACATTTTCCAGCAATATTTCCTTTGAAGTATTTTAGCTATTTTATTTGAAAAAAAACAAAAACAAAAACTTTTTAACCATAGTAATTTAAAAGTTCGAAATATTTTCTATAGTTTATTTTTATTAAAATTAGTACTTGTTGAGAAGTGTGGTGAGGTATTCAACAAGGCTTTATGTAGGAGATATTGATAAAAATAAAAAAGCCTTAATCTGTGTGTAGTAGGTATCCAGTAGCCTACAGGACAAAGTAGAAGAAAATAAATTTAGAAGTGTATCTTATTTATACAGATAAGTATTTAATATTAGAGGAGAAAACACCTTTAGGTAATAAAAACATGTATTTTATCCATATGAATGACTCTAAGTCCAAAATTTTCGATCTTGAAAGTATGCTATAAAAAGCATTGTAGTGTTTGATACTGATTTTTCTATAACAAAAAATCCATCAAGATCTCCCTGAAAAAAAAAAAAAAAAGGATGAAGTACTTTTATAACTATTCCATTTCAATGTAGAATGTCATTTACCTCTCAAAGAATAGAAGGGGATAAAAAGCGAGTTATGGTAGTTGGAATATTCCTCTTAATTTCTGTTGACTTTAACCTACCTGGTAGATAATTATTATAGAAAAATATTATTTTTGCATTTAAACTGCCCTAGTACAAATATTAATGAGGCAAGATTTCAGATATCTAGTTAATTTTGGATTTTCAAGAAAGAAAAAAAGAATTAAAACTGAATTTTAGTCTATTTTTACGAGAATAATTTTTCCACTACAATGTAATCTCCACAAGTTAAGGATTCTTGTTCACTCTGTTCATTGTTCTATCCCTAACACTTAGAGAAGAACCTATAACATAGCAATTATTCAAAAAAAATTTATTGAATGAAAGAATGAAATCGATACATTCTCCAATTTAGTAAAATGCATAGCATAACCTTAACATGTCTATGTTTTCAATCCCCCTCCCTTTTTTTCCTGTAATAGAATAGCATTGTTATAGTAAGAGTTTTGGTTGGCATGTGCTTGGTTTTAGAGATAATGTAGAGATGTCACATTTGGTTCTGATAGATTGATTGACTGCTTTGAGTAACTTTCTGTCTTTCTTACAAGTGAGCTGCTACTTTGAGTCTGGATTTTAAGTTATAGTTTTGAACCAGGATATACCTGCGTATCAATGGGTGTAGCAGGGAAATCTATTTTAGGTAGAAGAAACTGGGCCACTCCAGCTAAACAAAAGTTTCTGTACAAGTTCAGGTGTGAACTAATTTCAAGAGAAAAAAAAAAAGTCTTATTTATAGGGACAGAAAGATACTAATGTAGATTAGTATTTTTCAAAATGGGTTTTTAGACCATTTATATCATAATCATCTCAGTCTTTGAATGATGAGGTCCTAAGACCTTACATTACTTATTCATTCTATTTCTTTACTTACTGCATCGTTCAGCTCTGTGATACAGGAAAACTAGTTTTACAATGCAATGAACCTAACATGTTCAGTACTAGAGCTTACTGCATGGGGTTCACAGGTTTCATACCATGGTAGGTTGTATTACAAGGCACAGGTGACAATTACAAGGAGGCTGTATGTTCTTAAGGAAGTTCATCATTGTTCTTATGCACATGGTGGTACCCTACAGGATACTTCCATTGGAACCATATTTTAATTAAAATTTTATGAGGTGAAAGTTTTCATTTTCTGGGTACATACAGATATACTGAATCCAGAAGGAAGTCCCTCTTTGTGTGAATTGATCTTTGAGAATTATCTCATTTCATCTAAGAATGTAACTGGATGATTTTTGTTATACAAACTTTTTCTTTCCTTCTTTTCTTCTTTCCTTCCATCTTTTCTTCCTTCCTCCCTTTTTGATGGGGACATTTTCCTTCCTTCCCTCCCTCTCTTCTCTCCCTCCCTTCCACCTTCCGATAAAGCCTTGCTATTAAACAGTTAGTTAATTCTTTTATTTAAGCACTACCGTATTTTCTTTGCTTATAATACTTAAGTTGTATTAATAAAATTTCAGTAACCACTGCCACACGCTATCTCAATTCAAAGATTTAAAAACTATTAAATCTTCAACCGTTTCAAGAAATAGAATTTTTTTATGTGAATTTACTGATGTTATAATTTAGAAATTGTCAGTATTATGTGTTTATAGTTCCTCTAAAATCAAGAATTTTCTTGGGAGCATTATTTTATTGCTTTCTCATTCCTTCCTGCTCTGTTACATCTAATGAGCTTTATCTGTCCTTTAGGTGACCTACAAACGAGATCTGTATGCGGCTGAATCGATTATTAAGGGTATGTTTGTCCTTGTGATTGTCTGTTCCTGTGTTTCAGAAATGTAAGCCAATTCAAAATTTCTCATGACATTTTAAATCCCAGCAATCTCAGAAGTATAAATGCCTGTAGGCCACCGAGGTCTGTGATTTTTTTTTTTTAAACAATTACATTATATTTTGTGTTTCCTCCCTGTGAAATGTCATTTATTATGATTTAGGATTTACATCACATTAGTTTTAATTTGTAGAAAGGAAATACTGTGAAACGGTCATATAGTTTATTCTATGGAGAAAAATATGGGATATTGACACTATTAGAAGGGAAACATAATGAAAACTGATATTTTAATAAATTTGTAAAGATGTTATGTTATTTCATTTTTACATTAATAGGGCTGCTTCCACCATCTTTAATACTGTCATCTCAGAACACTAGATAGCATCTTGTCTTCCATATGGGAAACATTTTTACTCAAATGAAAGAAGTCATGTTGGATGATTTTTGAATATTTTTGGTTCCGATAATAACTACAATTTTGTTTTATAATTTTAGATGTTGCATCTGTGATAATGCACTTTTTGTCCTTTTTTTAATCTCTATGACTCTAAGATCCCGGTTACCCAGAGGTAGTTTATTTAATAATCAAACAAGTATATATTACTGTGCTTAATATTGTGCTGGGAATGTAGTGAAGGTGTACAAGGGACATTCATTCTGAATTTTTGCATTTAAATCGGAGTTTTCTCAACCTCTGCATTATGGATATTTTAGATTGGCTGATTCTTTGTTGTTGGGGACTGTTTTGTCCATAAGATGTTTAGCAGCATACCTGGCCTCCACCAATTCTATCCACTAGATGCCAGAAACCCACCCTCCCTCCCTCAGTTGTGATAACCAAAAAAAGTCTCCTGACATTGCTTAGTGTCCGATACAGGATAAAATTGCCTCTGGTTAAGAATCACAGTTTTAAATATATATTCCTAGCAAAGATCAGAAGTGTTCACACCCAAGCCTGAAGCAGGTATGGTGCTTTACAGTCTGTTAGTAACTGACTCCTTTGAAAATAGATTAAGGACAGAACTATGTGTTTAGGTTTTGATTGAAAGGCAAACTTCTAAATTCAAACTTTGAAGTTGGAAAAAGTTCTGAATCTGAATTCTGAATATATCAGTTCAATAATAAAAATTGTGAAAATGTGTTTAACAAATCACTTGGTTTCACATTCAGAAAACTGAAATCTTTAGTCATGATACTCTGTATTTACAGTTTACCTCCAAATTCTTTGTCCTTCAAGCATATTGTGTTTCAAACCATTAATGTACCATATTGCACATCTGTGTATCTATGCATGTAAACAGATCATCTATAGCTATAAATCAAAATGCTGACACATATTTACGTATCAGCCGGGAAATGTGTAAACACTATTCTGGACAGGTTAGCTAAACCCTGATGTGGTTGGTTAAATTCTCAACACAAGGAAATGTAAAACTCAGTTCCATTTCTTTACGAAGTCATTACCCTATTACTTAGATAAATGAAACTATTTTTTAAATCCTAAACTGAGGATTCTATACCTTTTGATATTTTGCCTGCATATTATCAGAACTGGCTTCTTACAATGTATAAAAGCCTACATTTTAAGTGTAATCGCAGGGGCTATAGTTTTGAAAATCGTTTGCCGAGAAAAATTGATTTTCTTATTTAGGTAACAGTCTTTAGTATGCACTTTTATTCTCAGGGAAAGTAACCTGTTTGGCTGGATGTAAATAACTGATTTAGATCAGCAATCTCAAAGAGTATTCTTATCCTCTAGAATTTACATTTCTAAAAAGTTCCCATGAGATTCTGATGCTGCTGATAAGAGACTACATTTTGAGGACTAGTGCTGTGGGGCCTTTCTACTCTGTGTGAGCTCCTAGACCAGCAGTGTTGTGGTCACCTGAGAGCTTGAACGCAGAAGCTCAGGCCCCACTGCATTAAATCAGAATCTGCATTTTAGCAAGAACTTTGGCTGATCAGTTTGTACATTAGATTTCAAGAAGCATCGCTGCCCATCACGGTCTTTTATAGGTCTTTTTTTTTCCTAAATAGTGTCTTTATTGCATTAAAAGTTTGAAGTCTTGCTATGCTGTATCTACCAGCTCCAAATGCTTGTTTGCTCAACTGAGGTTACTATCTCTGCAGCTTAATAGTAGAAATATTCGTGGGTGTAGGAAAAAGAAAACTCTTGGATTTTTTTCTTCTTAAATTCCAAAATATATTATGGTACATAGTAGGTAGACTAACAGATCAGCTATCTGAGTTATATATTCACCTGTCTTTTCCTAGTAATGTTCAAAGTATTTTGCTAGGCACTGCTTGTTAGTTGCTGTCTAGTTGCTCAGACTCGTGGTGACCTTGTGTACAACAGAACTAAACATTGCCAGGCACAGCACAATCTTCATGATTATTGGGGTATATCTGAGTCCATTGTTGCAGCTATTGTGTCAATCCATCTCTTTGTTGCCATCCTTTTCACTGACATTCTACTGTACCAAACATGATGTCCTTTTCTAGTGACTGGTCTTTCCTGATGCCATGTCTAAACTAAGTGAGCTGAAGTTGCACCATCCTCACTTCTAAGGATCATTCTGGTTGTACTTCTTCTAAGACTGATTGTTTGTTCTTCTGGCAGTCCACAGTATATTTTAGTACACAGCATTTTTATTGGGCACTTGCTTTGTGCCAGGCACTGTTTCAAATGTTTTTTTTTTTTTTGTGGGGGGGGGGTGTGGATTATCTTTGGATTCTTGAAGAATTCAGTGATGTAAGTAGTGTTATTGTTTCTATGTTATGGGACATTCAAGGATTCTATGGAAAATGCTGATTAAAGAAGGATAGAAAATAAATTCTTAGCCACTATTTTCTGCCTTAGGTAGTTTACTTCTTTTATACATTTATTCTCCCTTTTTTTCTTTAGACGGAGATGGTTCAGATTCCCTTATCTGATGCCCTTGGGCTAATGTGCTTTGGAATGTGGAATATTTTTTATTTTCAGAATGTACCAAAGTATCTCATATATTATATTATACCACCAGTAGGATTTGCACATAATGAAACTTAAGATGTATGAATGTTTACAATCATCGGAATAATAAAGACTGTAGAACCCCTAGCCAGTTCAGGTCAGGACTAATTTTATCACCAAAGTAATATATGAAAACTATTTTTTTGTTTGTTTCAGAGCTTGTTGGAGTTCAGCATTGCCCATAATATGGTCTGGGTCTGTCTTAGATTGTGATTCGCTGAAGGAAGGAAAAATGTCTGTCCTTTTTTTCTTTTGTATCCTTTAATACTGTGTCAAGTTGCATTGCATATGTTAAAGGATGCAGCTATATTTTTTCCTTAGAGTCTAAGGGCCTTAAATTATAGACTAGGTGGCTCTTTTCTCTCTGCTTCAGCAGATGTTTATTGGAATCCAGTGTATTTATCACTATATCAAATATCTTTTTTTCTTTTCTTTTTAAAATAAAGATGGTTTAGTATGTGGATGCACTTTTGTTAAGGTTTAAAACCAGGACTTGGAGCACATGGCATATACCAGGTACTGTACCTGTGCCTTGTGTATGTTATCTCATTTATTCTGTAAAATAAGACTGAAAGGTAGATACTATTACTCTCATTTTGCGGGTGGGAGAATTAAGACTTAGAGATAATAGATACTTTCCTCTGGGTCACAGTTAATAAAAGCAAAAGCCACAGTTTAGACCCAGGTCTGCCTTGTTCTTAAGTCTTACTCCACTTTGAGGCATGGCCTTTTTGCACCACTAAATCGTGCTGCTATTTGTGCTAACTACTGAAGTGGATGTTGATGTTAGGTGCGGTAGAGTCGATTTTGACTCATAGTGACCCCATTTGTCAGAGTGGAACTGCCCTATAGGGTTTTCTAGGCTGTAATCTTTACAGGAGCAAATTGCCAAGTCTTTCTCCCGTGAAGCTGCTGCGTGGGTTTGAACCACCAACCTTTTGGTTAGCAGCTGAGCACTTAACCCTTGCACCACTAGGGCTCCTGCTGAAGCGGATTCTTTATTCCATATCCCTTTTGGTGGGTACAGTAAATGGTTGCTTAAGTTCAGCCTGCCCAGCACTGATTCTATGGAGTTGGAGTTGGTACCTTTAGCTGACCTGATGCAGAAAAATCATGAATTTAGAGAGAAGATCTTATCTCCCAGTTTTCCTCAGTACACAGTATAGTCTTTTGGAGAGTGTCTGTCTTTGCGTTATATGTATATAAAAAAATACATTGTACTGAAATAACAGATTTCTAGATATGACCAGAGAAAGAGCAAAATATTAACATTCAATATCCACATACGAGCTTTAAAATGACTGGTTAAATATTGTTTATTTTTTTAATTTTTTTAATAGTTCTACTAGTTTGAAGTTTATTATCTAGGCGTAACAGTTTTTCCTCTTCTAGGATGGAACTCTTTTTCATGCTGTAATTGTGGTAGGAGTCCTTTGTATTCTGTAAGTTGTTCATCCTGAGGTTCTTTTTCACTCGAATATCAATGGTTGCTGGACAACAAAGTATATATTGTAATGTAATTATTTTCCTGTTTTCTTAGTGTTTTTCAGACTCTAAATAGGGTAAACATCATCTCTTGCGAAAGCATTTTGTACGCTCAGGTTGTCACTAGAAGACCGTGTGTATTTTGCTTCATCTTAATTTGTGTTTAAGTCCGTATCGTTGGTGTAGTAGGGGAATTTTGATGTAAGGGGGAAAAACACTTTCACTGTATTTTCCTTATGTTTACTAAGTTCAGGCAAGTGTTTGACTAAAATTTCCATATTGTGGTTTGTAGTAAGTTTCAAAATTTGACCTTTATGTTGTTAGATAATTTTTATTTTTAAACGTAATATATTTTAGAATCAGTATGTTTACGTGGACTTCTATTTATAGTGAACTGTTTGGTAATAGGAAACATGTTTAGAATGTAGTACTTTCTTATTTGTGCTTTACATAGGCATCTAAA